GCATAATCAGTGGTTCTCTAAACAGTGATGTTATCAGTATAGACTGTAGTTCTTAGCATTTTTGACCAGTTGGCAAAATTTCTTTCACGTCGTTTTGCTAGAGTAATTTTTAAGGTTTTATAACCTCTTTCGATTGATGCATTTGCTTAAAAATGATAAGTTGTCACGTGTCTGATTTCGATACCCAATAATATAATTCCAGAAACCTAAGAGATGGATTCTTCTTACGACCCCGTTTGTGAATTTAGATCCTCTGTCTGAAAGAAATTCTCTGATGAAGGGATATTTGAGATGAACTTCCTCTATCCTATCATCCACCTTTACGCTCATCTTCCTCTTCAAAGCTTTTGCTTCAACATATCGAGTCTCATGTTCAATATGTACGTCATCCCTCCTTTGCCTATAGGCATGGTGATGAGAGCCAAATGAACCCGACTTCCTGGTTTTATTAGATAGTGGGAAATAAAGACTCAATTATCCTTGTTATAAACCTTTTCTGACATAGTACACATGTAAATCATATTTCTTATACCTTGCGAGAAGTAAAGCTTGATAGTCTTAGAGTAGGTTGCTTCAACAACTCTGTAGCCACCAACAACCCCTTCGTGTAAAACAAGTATTATTTTTAGGTGTCTTTCTTTTCCGAATGCAATGTTTTATGGAGGCAATCCTCTCTTGCCATTCACAAAGAAATAACTCTTTTTAGTTTGAACTTCTTTTTAAGTTTTTGCAGTAATATTCCTTTATCTTCTCTCTTTTCATCGTCTTCCCAATCTCTTGGTAGCTTCCATCATATTCTTCAAAGATGAATGATTTTTTTTTTTTTCTTTCAACCGCTTCTTCATCCTTTGATTGTAATTTTCTCCTAATTCATAAACAACCACAACTGTTGCGCTAACTCTCGCATACCAATCATTCTTGTCTTCTTTCTTCTTTCTCGAAAATCAGTTCATAGAAGGCATTCTTCCTTGCCATCCACATAGAAATAACTCTCTTTAGTCTGAACTTCTTTTTAAGTTTTTGCAATAATATTCCTTCATCTTCTCTCTTTCCATCGCCTTCCTAATTTTTTAGTAACTTTCATCATATTCTTCAAAGATGATTTTTTTTTTTTCTTTCAACCTTTTCTTCATTCTTTGATCATAAACTTTCTCCTAGTTCATGAACACCACAACTGCTGCACTAACTCTCGCATAGTAATAATTCTTATCTTCTTCTTCATTTTTCTCGAGAATCAATTCATAGAGGTAAAAATCAGAAATTTCTCCTGAAGTCTTTTTCCTCAGGCCACGGACTCCACTTATAGGAATTTGGTGCCTTATAGCCTTCACCATCTTCTTCATTCAGAAAGTTACCAACATAAGCAGACTCCTCAGTAGTCCCGTCAATATCGTTATGGTCATCGGTTCTCCACTCAATTCGGCCATTTGTTTATTAGAGGTTCGATGTTCTCCTAGTTAGGACATTTGCAAGTTTTTTTTGGTTGAAATTTTTTCCAATTTAAAATTAGAGGTTCAAATAAAAACAATCTATTTGCTTATTGTTCGATGTACTTGTTGACCAATCACTATAGATGCATTAGTCCTCATAATGAATTATTTTAAGCATATAGTGCGTAAATCACATGAGGCGGTAGATGATTGTTAATAACTCTTTCCTGAATTGGGTATAGCCTCCTTAGGTGAAATTGAGAGTTTTACTATCAAATCTTAAAGGTCTTTTCTCCCATTCTCATCTTTTTGTAGGAGTACACCACCAAAAGCGACTAGTCTCCCATTAGCCTCGATAATGAAGGGTCTTCCCTCTTCATCATCATAAGAAGGCACTCCCAATACTATACCTCCATCTTTCAATGTTTTTTAGAAAGGTTTCAACAATAATTTGCGTTTTCTATGTCCATGACAGGTTAACCCCTTGCCTTACCATCGCTCCTGGAGGCACTGCAAGGGTAGCAAAATGAGTCAAAAGATCTTCCAGAATTTACGGACACGCAAAAAACTTCTGACATCTATTACTCGTCTGAGAGGCAAGGGTCAGTTCATGATCTTCTTGGGGTCGAAACTCCTAACCTTGGAGAAACAACTAAAGCCTAAAATGGTTGCTTCTGCTTGAAAGAGAAGGGGTCTTTGGTCCACTTGCAGGCATATTACACTTTTAAAATCTTTTTAGGACTAACTTTACACCCTTTATGTTCCCAGACAAGCTTTCTGACACCATCACTGCTCAAAGTCTCAACACTTACTACATGTGCTTTCACTGGCTGATCATCAATATAAGGATTGATCATCTTAGGAGAGATATCGTACATAACATAAATCGTATCTATTTGAACCATCGCCACACCATTAGTTCACCATTGTGCTAGCACGCAGATTTAAATAAGTCCTCTCGGCGTGTGCATGATAGTCATTGGTCGGTTAGTGGGATCAACAAAAATTGATCGTAGCCAGAATATATAAATCAATTAATGAATCAATTGACTAGCAAATGATTAAGAAAGGAGATCAACATTAGGGAGGTTACCTGTATCATGCACCTTTACTGAGTTGAGTGTATGTCTCAAACCATCCTCTGGTTTCCATAAGCAAAACCAGTAATTAACAAACGGTTCGTGAACACGTTCAACAACATTCGATACAATCTTTTTATCAAGATATTTAGCCACATCTGCCTTTTTTTTGGGGGCATACTTAGTTGGTTTGTCATTTCATGGAATATGATGTTCTGTCTAGATTTTAGTCATCTTAATCATGTCACATTTAGGCGCTCTGTCTTTTCATTATTAAAAGAAAATGCATCCGAGAGTTTTTGACGCGTCTTTGAGATATATTCCTTGTTTTTTTTGTCAGATAAACTGATCTGATCCGTTCTTCATAGTGTCAAATCTTTCTCTAGTGACTGTGTTTTCTAAATTTGTCGACTCCCTTAATGCTTCGATGATTTTTCTTTCCTTCTCCAATGCTTCACCATAATCTTTTTGATGTGAAAACGGCCACCGATTTTTTTTCCAACCCCTCGGGCTTGAATTTTCTTTTTGATCCAGTTAATATTTTCCTAAAAAAGGATGAGTTGAAGCAAATCATACTTCCATTTTCAACTCTTAGCATATTCAACAACCTTCTTGAATACCTTAATTTGTTTATCATCATTTTTTAGTTTGCCAAAAATTTTAATCATTTTAGAGGTCTGATTAATAATGTCCACTGAAATGTTTTAATCTCTTGCTTATTTTTTTCTTTGAGTTTTCTAGTTTTTTTTTCCTGATAATTAGTTGATATATGATGCTTATGTTGGTTGGAGGTATAAACCATAAAGGTATGTTTTTGACCAGTCGTTGGATTCTGCAAGCTAATCGAAGATGACCCATTATGACTTAATAACAAGACAACTTTTATTCTATGCAAAAACAGAGTACTCATGACAAAGTCATGATCCAAATTTCGTGCCACGAACCCTAACAATTTGATAAATATTGTTTAACCTTTATTGACAGATTATGAATATAACTGACGAGGTACAATGCTCCAACAATATTACTCAAGATGCCATTTGAAGTTCTATGAATAGTTAAGTCATAAACCTCAATAATCCTCTGAGAAAGAAGAACCATTTCTGCCCAGAGTCTATGAAGGCTCGGATCTTCACTTGATTGATATAAATAGTCAAGTATCCTCAACCCATGGTCGCGAATCTTTTATTACACCGTGATAATGACCTGTCCACTTGAGCAGGGAAAGTTGCCCTCAAATAGTTGACTTCCACCTTTTTCTTTTCAATCAGTTTCGTAAGCCTCTCTTTCAACTTATGTGCTAAAGGCATTGTGTTTTTGAAAATAGAGTTACATCTGTTTCATCTAGCATTTTTATAATCACATCACTGATTACGGTTCCGTCTTTCATTATTTGTTATCACATCGCTAATTAAAGTCTCGTCTTACATTTCACTCTTGAGGATGAACCTTCTCTTCTTCGACTGTTTATTCTTTCGAAACAAGGGAGTCTATTTTTTAACATCAATAATATTTTTAAGGTATTTTAAGTCTTCTTCATTTATTTTCCTCGGTCATCTGAGGCGTTAAGTTTACTTGAAGGTCTAATATTTTTCCAACCACTATATCAGGTTCCATGACGACTTGAGATGGTAAAACACTTTCAAAGGATGACATGTTAATTGAACAAGAGGGTGCACAAGAAGGAAGTTCTACAAACTTGGAAGAATCTTGAGAAGTAGGATTTTCTTCTAGTAGATGACAACTTGAGAAAATCTCATCTGAAAAGTCTCCCACCAACGTCAAAGATTGTGAGGGAAAATCAGTTACGATCTATGTTGCACGCTGGCCGCGGCCGAGTTCGGCCCAGGCCGCGGTCGGTGACCTAGTCTGGGACCCCCCTGGTCGCGGCCGGCGGTCGAGTTTTTTCAGCCACGGCGTTGACCGATCTGGGGGGCGGTTTTCGGAGCAGGGTGCAGGTTTGGGGTGGGGGGGTGGGGGGGCACCCCCTCAAAATGACAGGGCGTAAAAAAAAACAAAAACGGGGGGGTCCTGCACAAGACCCTTGAAGGGTGGCCCGCGAAAAATCCGGCAGACCTCGTGTGCAGGTTCGTCGATGTGGGGTCGCAGGGAGGAGGGTCTGGAACAGTGGAAAAAATATATATATATATATATATATATTTGACCCCTGCGGGGCGGCCCAACGTGGGTTGGATGAGGGCCTGGTTGGGGCGGGCCGTGCGGCCAGGCGGGGTCGAAGCTAGACGGGGCTGCAGATGGCAGACCCCAGGCGGATTAGGGCCTCACGCACTGAAAGGTAGGCGTCGGTTTCATTAATGAGGGCGAAGACAGTTCGGCGCTTATTTTAAAACAACACATTCATGGCAATCATAAGTCAGACCCTGTTTGGCATACCAATGTCAAAACACATTGGAAATCAATCACAGTGCGGCGAACCACAAGTTTCAAACAATGATAACAGGSAAGTGTGTCATAGTGTGTGTTCACCCATGAGACTGATGGACATTCATTAGCACATCATTTATGTAAGAACACATTCATTAGCACATCCCTATGTCGCATCTGAAATTAACAGCACATTCATAATGGAGGCATCCATGACATGTAGGTGCGTGGCATCAGAGCACATAATTTCCAACATTCACGACAACAGAGCAGAAAACAATCACCAAACAACAGGGACTTAGATGCAAGACCAATGTTGGCGGAGGAACAAGAACAAGAGCAAATATATGACAAAGCATTTCAATGGAAATGCGTATGTACAAGGCTGAAGCCAAAAACTGGACCCGTAGTCTCTACTCCACAAACGAGTAGCAAAAAAAAACTGGACCCATCGTCTCTGCTACACAACAGAGTACCAAAAAAAAGCTGGAGCCGTCGACGGGCGTCGTCTCTCCTGTACAACCGAGTAGCAAAAAGAAAAAAAAAAAACCCTAAAGTCCACATACTATCGTCGTCTTCATGGAACTACATCGACATAAATATGCTACAACTCTGCCGACAGAGCGTCCAGGCTGTATAACCACGCGAAAAAAAAAAAAAAAACTAATGAAAAAAAAAAAAACCCACGGACGTCGTCGTCTCCCACCAGAGCGCGCGCGGCCATGCGATCTTCCCCGGCGCCCTCCTCTCCCTCCGGCACCTGTGCCCCGTGCCCCACTGACGTATGCCGCATGTGCTGCAGTGGCCGCCGCGGCCACCTGTGCCCTGTGTCTGCCGGCCGCAGTCTCGATCGGCTCGGACTCAGTGTCTGCGTCCTCGTCCTCCTCCGCTTGTGCAGCAATCCCCCTCTCTCTCTCTCTGTGAATCGCGTCCAATGCTGCCTGCCCAGCGGCGACCCCTGCAGCGAGTCGAGCCTCAACCTCTGAGAGGCCATGCTGTCGTCTCGTCCCGAGTCGCATCAACAACCCCTCCCCGCCCGATGTGATCTGCTCTCCCCGCAGCCTATCCGTGGATGTCCCTGGGGCCTCGAGGACCAATGTCCTCCTCGTCTCTGATCGTGACAAACCAAGCATGCTGCCTGCCATCTGTAGGCTCAAACGTCCGGACCCGCCCTCCGTAGCCTGCGTCTGAATAGGCGCACGTCCCGTTAAGACGCCCCTCCCGGCGTCGTAATCCGCCCGCAACCGGTCCCCGACCCGCCGAACAGTTGACCGTCCGCAACCCACACCTCGGACTGGCGGCGGGGAACCGCCACTGTGCGCGACTCCGGGTGCCACCGTCCGGTCCCCGGTGTCGACCCTGCCCTCCGGAGTTTGTGCGGGCGGTGGAGGTATCGATCCTGCACTATCTCTGCCGTCGTCGCTGCGTCTGCCGAACCCCACCTCACCCGCACCGGACTCACTCCCTCTAACGCCGAGCGACGAACCCGACCAGTGAGGGCTCTGTACTGTGAACGGGGGCGTTGAATATACCCTCCTAGGGGCCCGCTGCTTGCCGCTCTTGCGGCTTAGGTGTGCGAAACGGTCATCCGTCAACGCGTGCGCCAAAGCGTCGGCGTCGAAGAAAGTGTGCGCTGTGTCGTGAGGGCGCATGGGAGGCACTGTGGGGTCCCTCAACACCAAGGTGAGACTATGCAGATCGTCCTCCGGACCGTGGTCGTCGTCATCGTCGCCATCCGGTCCATCGTCTCCACCGACACCCGCGGTATCCCCATCTCCACCGGGTCCACCCTCTCCTCTGCCGCACACTGCGGCACCCTGTCCCTCATCACCCGCGGTCTTGCTGTCGCCACGGCCCCCACTAGGGGACCCACCGCCCATGACAACATCCTGCCCCTCAGGGACACCCGCGGCGGCATCCTGCCCCTCATAATCGAACTCCCCCTGAACCGCCTTCTCAGGGACACCCAAGTCGTCGACGTCACGGCTCCCCTCCCCTCCTGTCTCCAAGTCCCTCTGCCGACGGTGCTCGTCGAGATATGCGAACCGACCCTCCCACTGTGGCAAACTCCTCAGCCGCTCCTCCTCCTCTCGGTCCAAACGGGCATCCCTCTCCTCCTCAGTCTCAACAGGGCCCCGCTCAACGTCCGCGTCTATGCGCACATCCTGCGGTGAGGCACGTCGACGTCCCTCGACACTAAAATCTCCCAAGCTCCTGCCAAGCCCTATGTCCTCGAAGTCCTGTGTGCGGAGCACCGACGGCGAGCCGGGCCCACGATTCTCGCCTTCATGTGTCCGGTCTCTGCATGCTCCCGACGCCAACCTCTCCGAACGCCTAAGTGTCTCCCCCTCGGGCTGTGCAGAAATCGGATGATGGGAGGGAGAGAAGCGACGATCACGAAGGGGCACCTCCTCATCCTTGGCCTCCCCCTCCGCCTCACTGTCGCTCCTTACCTCCCAACGCCTGCCTGTCTGCCGAAGACCTCCCCGTGGCTGCCGCTCCCGCGAGTCGTCCATGCGAACCTCCGCATGCGAACGTCCTCCATGACCACCGTCGGCTCTGCTGCTGCCACTCGTCGGCGCGGTCGACGACACACCACCAGTGATAACTAATGTGAATGAATCTATGCCGTCACGACCCCCACCGTAAGTGAAGTACTCTCGCTCAGCCGTCGGGTCGCGATTCAGCGGCGTGTCATCATTGTTAGTCCAATCGTCGTCGATGTCGTCGTTTGCCGCAGCAACGCCCACATGATCCCCACCCTTCGGCCACGGTCGCAGCTCCGTCGCTCTGCTGCCGAACACGTCCCGAACCGAACGGGCTCTGGACGGTCGGTTGTCACGGAAAGCGACAATCTGCCGCCGGATCTCCTGCTCGGGAACACTGCCATTAGGTCGCGCTCCCCACACCTCGGGCTCCACATCTCCCTCCTCATCCTCCTCCTCTGTCGCCGTCCCTCCCCGACCGCTCCCCATAACCCATGGCATCACGTAGCCACCACCCTGCCGTGCGCATGAGGCCAGTTTGAGATTGGTGGCAATCTCAACCAGCTGTGCAAGCTTGGCGAACCCAAGCTTGCAGCGCCTTGCCGTGCTGACGCGTTCGTGCTCCGCCTAGTTCCTCTCCGCTGGAGAGGCAGACGTCCATAAGTGCATGACACGGATGGCGATGGTGCGCAACTCCGGGTGGGCACGTCCATGCTCGAACCACCACGTTGCACATCGCTCGGTCTCGCTGTCCCCCCTGCAATTTGCCGCCTCGGCATCGAAGAGCTCACGATCTCCCCAATCCCCTCGCCTCGAGTGGAACTCCCTCATCTGGTCCTCACGGGCCTGTACAATAACCCGACCGGATCGCCGCCGGTCTGCGCCAGGAGAAATCTGTCGCACTTGACCACAAGGCGGTCGTCGGCGGTCCTCTGCTGCGAATGGTAATACGTGAGGGACCGTCGGCGAGGGTTGAGGAGGTGGGCCGCAGCATGTGCGGGCTCTAGCATGTGGAGGTTGCACGCACGGCTCGATCATGTCCGTCGTCACGTCAACCCTCCTCATCAACTACAGCAGATGCCGACTCCACTCGTTAATGACGGACATCATCATCCCACCTCTATCCATCCTGCGCAACAACTGGTGGACGGGCGACATGACTAGGATGGCGTAATGGACACGCTGCCAAAACTCCCCGTCCCAGATCTGCTGTTGCACCCACTGCGCCTAAGATACGTGGGCGCGATCCCATGGGATGTGTGCCCCAACATCCCCGTGCAACATGCTCTCCAACGCGTCTCGTTGGCCTTTGAGACACGTCAGCATCAGGAAAACTGATGCAAACCGTGTCTCAACGGGCTCGACAAGCTGAATGCGAGGGCTCACCTTCCTACACAGGGTGTGAGCAGCGCCGTGCGATTTAATAAATCGCACAAGCGCTCGGGAGCGGATGCTGGTCTCCTTGACCCACACCACTCGCGTCCCGATATCTGACAACATCAAGTTGCAGACATGGGTGGAGCAGGGGAGCCAAGTGATCCTCCTGATGTCAGGCTTGGGGTCTGAGGCGAACTTGCGCGCTGCCGCCATATAGTTACTGGCGGAGTCTGTGCAGGAAAGGACAAGATGATGGCCCGCCACCTACGGTACACGACGTCCGCTGTGTCTCGGACCGACCCATCACGTGCGACAGTGGCGTACAGCAGGGCGCCATTGGAGCGGCTTGCCGCTGCGCGACTTCCTCCCGTCGGAAAGGATAGTGGCACCTTTGTGCCGGAAAGTGGCGCGCACCTCGCTCACCATCGTCGCCACCTTCGCCCTCTGCGAAGGGATACCGGCCCCCGCTGTAACATTGGTTCTTCGTTGATAATGATGATGAGACTATTCCAGCAATGTCAATTATGAGCTCTTGGTGTGTTCTTATTCGGTGAAACTCGTGATGCAATTCTGTTGTTGGCTCGAGGTCACGACTATCTGGTCTTACGGGTATGATGCTATTCGATTTCTGAAGTTCGCTATCGCTCATTTTCCTTGCATTTATCCGAACAGCCAGAAAAATTTCATACTGGGATGAGGCTCAAAGATGTCATATTTTTTTGAGTAACTCGTCTTCCTTCAGACATTTTTCTGAACTGCCAAAAAAAATAATACTTGGATGAGGCTCATAGATGTCATATTTTTTTGACTAACTTTACTAACAACAAAAGACAAAACATTCTGAATAAGGCTCAATATTACCCTCTCAGATCGGATGAAAAGGTTGCAATAGTCACATCTCTAGCTACAGTTTCTCATAAGAAATGGTCACTGGATCAGACTAGTACATTAGTCAAGGATTGAGAGACAGAGAATGGTATGAACAGAGGAAGTAACATGACCACACATAACATCGTTACATGAGTTATGACAAATTATATTCCCGATATCCCTACTCCAAATGAGAAAGGGAAATATAAGTCAGAAAATGAGGATGAGAAAAATGATGACGGTGATGACAATGGAAAGAGGAGATACATCCACATCCAGAAGAAATGAAGGAAATGGTGGTAAAGGAAAAAGAGAATAAAAAAACTTAGAAAACTTGTCGAGGAAAATTTCAATCTGCTATTGTTGTGGTAAAGGAGGCCGTGCCACCACTTATTGCGAAGAGGATGTGAAAAGTGGGGTTGCTAAAAATGATGCAATGGTTCATTCTGGGACAACTGATGAAATAAGTTGGATCCCAAACATCCTGGAGGTATGAGACTTTTTTACCTTAAACATGAAGAGATGATGAAAAGAAAGAAGAAGAGCGACTAATGTAAAAGTTCACCTCCTTATTGGTGAACTACCAAAGGAACTTATAAAATTTAATATCCTTCAATCGTAACCTATGTTACACGCCCGGCGGCGGCCGCAGGGTCCGAGTCGGCCGCGGCCTAGGCCGATGACCGAATCGGCCCGGTTCGGCCTAGGCCGACCTGCCGAGTTCGGTGCAGTATTTTTTTTTCCCCTTCTTAACGTGTAAAAAAAAGAAAAAAAAAATGGGCGTGAAGGGTTGGAAAAGCCCTACACGCCCATATTTTTTTTTTGGGTGTCCAACCTTCGGCAAGGCACAGAAAAAAAAACAAAAAAACAAAAAAAAAGGCCCGGTGGGCCATTTTGGCCCTCTTTTGGTGCCAGCAAGTGAGGGGCACCGTGTGGGCAGTGGGCAGTGCGGGGAAGGCGTTGGGTCCAGGACCAGGCCACGGCAAAATTGTAGCCGTTTCAGATAAATGCTGCCATTTATCTGAAACAGCAACAGTTGTTGTTGTTGCCGTTATGCTGCCCAAATGCCTGCTCACCACTCTGAGAGAGAGAGAGAGAGAGAGAGAGAGAGAGAGAGAGAGAGAGAGAGAGAGACTCTTGAGAGAGAGAGAGAGTCTCTCTAGAGAGAGAGAGACTCGTGAGAGAGAGAGAGAGAGAGACTCTTGAGAGAGAGAGAGAGAGAGAGAGAGAGAGAAAGAGAGAGAGAGATGGAGAGAGAGACTCTTGAGAGAGAGAGAGAGAGACTCTTGAGAGAGAGAGAGAGAGAGAGAGAGAGAGATCTTCTTCTTCTTCTTCTTCTTCCTGCGCACCCTGTAGCGGCGCGCGTCGGGCGAGCACGCGGGACAGCGGCCCCGCGCTGCCCTGCGGCCGCTGCACGGCCGTCACCATCGCCGCGCGCGTCTTTTTCAAACACGCGGCCTTTTAAGTGCCCGGCTGCGGCCGGACGCGGCCGGCCACGGCCAAACGCGGCCGATCGCGGCCGATCGCGGCCAATCACGGCCGATGGCGGCTGGGCAGAGCTGCCCGCCTCAGAGGACCAGTTGCGGGCGGCCGGCCGGGGTGTTGGTGGGCCGTAGCCTGGCGCGACATCGAGGGGACACGCCGGCAGGAGCGGCGGGGGCGTCAGCGTGCAGCGACATCAAGGGGACGCTACATCGACGGTGCGGCACAGTCAGATGACATCGAGGATCGAGGTCACGACTTGTTGGATCCTCGTGGGGGGGGCGATGACAAGTGCAGGGAGCAGCGGTGCGGGGGGGTCTGGGGGTGCCCAATTCGACCCGCTGTCCGAGAAGGAGATGGCAAAGTTGAGGCGAGGGAACATTGTTTGGAACTACATCACCGCGGGCCAATACGTCGGGGACCAGTCGAAGATGCACGGGGACCGAAAGTTGTGTTGCAACTTATGCGGCCACCTGTTTCAGGGGGGATCGCCGAAGGCCGCGCGTCATTTTACGCAGTTGAAGTTCTGCAAGGCTGGGGAGATGAGAGTTCTCGTGAAACTCTGGAACCGCACGGACTACACGTTTGTGTCGTCCACTGCTCAGCGCGTGCAGAGGTGGATGGCAGACGAGGGCATACGGGACACGAGAGTGCCCGCGGGTGGCCAGAGACAGCGGATGGACGACGCAGAGAGGGACGACATTCAGGACGCCATCGATGAGGAGGAGGGCCACGAGGGTGGGGCGAGGGAGGGGGCGGTTGCAGACGAGGCAAACGAGGCAGTCGGAGAGCCTAACCTGCTAGGGGAGGAGGTGGTGATGACGTAGAGAGGCGTCGGTGGAGCGGGTCCTGTTACTAGGGCGCCGCGAGGTGAGGTGGACCGCGCGAGGAGGGAGAAGAGGACAGTGGGGCAGGCTGGCGTCGAGGTGCCAAACACGGCCAGGGAGAAGAGGGCTCGGCAGACCACGATTGTCGAGATGTACGCCAGGGAGAAGTTGGTCGAGTTTCATGACACGTGGCTTCGGTGGATCTACGTGAAGAAGTTGCCATTCAACGCCTTCCGTGGTCCAGAGTTCCAGAGGGTGCGGCAGGAAGCAGAGAGAGTGCCTCGCTCTATCCAGTTCCGGTTTCCCTCCTATCGTATCTGGCGCTCGGCACCCAGACTACAGATGATAGATCCTATCTAGCCTACTCTATAATGTCGCCGAATGACGGCAACAGCTTCACCGAAGTACAAGCAGATCTCGGACAATGTCGTTGCTTTTAGCACCAGGTATGTCTCTCGTATCACTCACAACTCGTTCCCCAACTCACAGATGCCACTTGCACCCGGACCACCATGCGTCACATCCAGCTCACAGAGCGCAACTCGTCTATGGCTGCCTGCTCCTTCCTGCTCGCCCGTGAGCGGCAACCAGCTTCAGCGCAGCAGCGCTTGCACAACATGCAGCCAACACCCGAAAGTCCAATGCGGAGGCAGGCCCTTTGCTATATGGAAGTGGCCTGCCTGTGTTCTGTTCCAGGCGGCGCTGGGCCTTTCCCAAGAAGCTTTTAGTAGGCCTCGGTAGACTGAGGCCCAGACCAAACAAATTGGCCCAGGGCTGCTGGCTGTTACCTGTGGCCAACTGCTCGCAACCTGAGTTGTGCCTATGCTGCGAATCTCGCACAGGGCCTGACTCAGATGCATTTGATAAAGGAAGCCAGGGCCTGGGCGCTTCCAACCAACTGGCGCAGTGCAACTGCCTGAATTTTCCCCAGTTGCTAAGTAGTCCAAAATAGGCCTCTGAGGGTCTGTCGGGCCTGCCTTCACTTAGGGTGGCCGATGCTGTTGCAAATAGGGCCCAGTGGGGCTTATTGAGGTCTTGTGCTTCGCATTCCCTCCTCCATACTTCGCTAGTCCTATGAGAAGTTCAGTCTTCGATAATCAGGCGCTTTCCTTTCCGTAAAGACTTCTCATAGTGGGCAACTACCTGTGGAGCGGTTTGCATCAGTTCCTCCCTTGTGAACCATCTGTCTTCCTTT